GGTTATTATTTGATGAGAAAAAGATTCATTTTGCATGGTAAAAAGTGAAAGAGGGAGGGGACAAAGGGAGGAAGGGACCACATGGGCTGGTGAAGAGAATCAGGGTTTTTGCATGAAGATCCGCGTGTGCTTCCTCTTTGGGATGTTCTCCCACGTGTTTCTGCTTCCAAAGTATATTCTTAAGTTCTTAACACACTCTATATACATTACTCAGTAAATGTAACAAAAGATTCTGTTAAGAATAGGGCTTACTCCTTTTTGTGAACTTGAGAAGGAGAACATGATGACCAGTGAGTCTTGTGCGGCCGTTTGATCCTGTCACAGAGAGAACACATATAATCTTTGAGGTAGGATCAAGTATTGTATAATATTTCACTAGTTGAATGCAATTTTAACCAAGTGGCCTATAAGACAACTAGGTGGAGAAACTATGCACTATTATATCATGATCTCAACTTAACATTACATAGTGAACTAACAGTAGATAGCACTTGATTGGAAAGAATATCCAGAGCTCCCATGATGCAACATAAACACACTAATTGTCTGCCTATTCCTAGTTACAAATTTTTTTTTACAGATTAAACAACTCTAACTCCATGAGAACCTTAATATCTTCAGAAGATTCAGCAGGCCAGTATTAAAAACACTGCTTAGGAATATCTGCACAATAAGCTGGTGCAAAACCGAACACTATTCAGAACACAACAAAGTCATGAGGCCGTGACACCAAAATTTCAAAATTCTTAAATGACAAACATTAACAGACAGATAACCTCAAGTGAAAATCTTGACTAATCAATAAACAACAAAAGAATAACACAAAAGTTTGAAAGACGATGATTTACACAATGCAAGAAGTTGAATATTAATTGGACTTTTGAGGCCCATGTATGAACTGAACCGGGCCAATTTAACTTAGCCGGTTTAAAAACTTTCTTTAAACCGATAAAATAAAGGCAGGATATTAGTGGTCAGGTGGGTGGGAAAGTGTACAAATTGGGTTAAATTTGGTGCCTCCCCCCAGGCACACTTGTTCCGTTTTGTATCAACTTTATTTCTTTTACTAGGATAAGACCTGCGCCTTGCGCAGGGTGAATATATGTAATTAAAATATAAAATTTTAATATTCACAAATTTAAAATTTACATATGATTATTTTTGTATGTATTTGAAATTTTAGAATTTTGGAATTTTTATATAATTATCTATACGTATGATCAAAAACAACTTTAATTAGAAATGTAAATCAAATCTTAGAATTTAATGGATCTGATTTCATATATCTTTTTACTTTTCAGTGTTCGAGTGATGGAAAATAAATGGAGTGTCACTGGGCTTGATTGGTAGAGTATAG